CTCACTTGGTAGCCCAGGCTGGCCTCGAACTCACAGAGATCCGCCTGCCTCTGCCTCCCGAGTGCTGGGATTAAAGGCGTGCGCCACCACCGCCCGGCGAGAAAAAATATTTTTAATAAAAGGAAAAATTATTTAATAGTTCTGGACACCAGAAGTCTAAGGGAGATCAGCTGGGCTTCCCTCCTGAATCTAGAGGTCCTTGAGAAGATTCTAAGTGCTTGTCTTCTCCAGCTTCCTGAAGCTGCCTGCATTCCTTGGCTTGTGGCCTTTTTGAAGAAAGACAGTTTTAAAAGAAATAATGTTGTGCAGTTATGCTGTTTCCAGAACCGATGGCAACAATGATCACAATCATTAAAAATACCCAATCAACCAGAATGGTTCACTGTGTGCCTACCACATGCCAGGCATGAGCTAAAACAATTGGCACCTGTACTAAAATCAGTTCCTTCTAGCTAGCCATTATTTTTCCCATTATACAGATGAGGGAAGGAAAGTCAGAGAAACAAACTTGAGATTACAGACCAGCTGTCCTCTCCCCATGGCACCAAGAGGAACTTCTACACGGGCTAGAAAGCTGTTCTTCAAGGTTCCCCATAAAGCTTAATCAGGAATTCTCTTCACTTTCCTCCCCTTCTTCAAAAGTTCACACAAGGGTCCTTGTAGAGTACACTATTGACCCTCCTGTAATCAGTGAGCCCCATACCTGGGAGCAGAGTGAAGGAGGCATTGCATGGTGGGCAGCCTAAGATGAGCAAAATGTAACCAAAGATGCCTTTCTCTGTGGTGGTTGGAATGAGAATGACCCCACAGTCTCATGTGTCTGAATGCCTGGTCCCCAGTGGGTGACTGTTTGAGAAGGATTAGGGGGTGTGGCCTTTGTGGAAGAGGTGTATTATTGGGTGTATTATTGGCTTCAAGATTTCAAAAGACTTCCTAGTGTGTCCTCTCTGCCTCCTGCTTGCAGATCAAGATGTGAGCTATTAGCTGTTCCTGCCGCCTCTGTTCCACCATCATGGACTCTAACCCTCTGGAACTGTAAGCCCAGGAATATGCTTTCTTCTATAAGGTGCCTTGGGCATGGTGTTTTGTCACAGCAGTAGAAGAGGAATGCATTCTTCAAAGACAGTTCAGTCACACTTAAATGCATCTTTTGATGTGTGGATCACTCTTTCTTTACACTAGAGTTTGGGTTCCTGGAGGAGGACGGAGATAGTAGTAAAGACTATCTTATGAGCCTGGGTACTGCTTCTCTTGGATAGAAATGCTCGGCAAGTGGATTAGCTTCAATCCAGTGCTCTTTGCAGTGGTCTGACTCTACCATTCCAAGATGTACTCTTGCTTCCTTATCAACATTTGTGACTTCTATTGAAGCTTAGCGTGGACTTTGAGGTTGAAAGATCACCTTTTTTGTGGTCTGAGTCCATCAATTGGCCCTCTAGGAATTTATTTACCATTTATTTTTATTCTGTAGCATTTTAGGTGTCTTCCAAAATCTCTACATTGAATGGACAGTTACTTGGAAATGTCTTTTTATTCTCTGAAGAACAGGGTCTCACACTATGACCCAGGCTAGCATGGAACTCACAATGTAGCCCAGGCTGGCCTTGAACTCAGAGCAATCTTGTCTTAGTCTCCCAAGTGTGAGATAATGGGGATGAGCTATCATACCCAGTTTTAGAAATGTAAGAAAGTCTTAGGCAAAGGTTTTCATCACGAACAGGGCAGTAACATTGAGGATGCCTCATCATAGAAAACTGTTGCTTTACTAAAAAATACTTTTTTATTTTTAATGATGTCTATGCTTGTTTTGACGGGTGTATTAGTCAGGGTTCTCCAGAGTAGCAATTTATAAAATGAATTTCTCTCTCTCTCTCTCTCTCTCTCTCTCTCTCTCTCTCTCTCTCTCT